AAGGTTGTGAAACACTGATGTAAACTACAGTAGAAGATTCTTGAAAGCCTATCAGTATTTTCCCTCCCTTCCTCTTATACCAGAGTCAAGGTGGGGTCACTTTTAAGTTTCCTTCTGTTTTGCTAACTGTGATATTCCTTCTCCAAGGTCTTCTCTGTGATTCTCTATAGCACCCACCAAGCATATACTGTTCCTGCTCTGCCTCTTGGAGTTGAACCCACCTTTTATAGGAAGAGTTTATCTAAAGCCATCTCTACTCCTTCCACACAAGACATTTTCTGTTTCCTTGGGGGAAAGGGGAAAGGGGAAACCCCCCCCCCCATATCTCCACAGGAATTCTGTTTGGTTTCCAAGTGAGAATGCAGATCACTCAACCTTCCAGGTCAGCTTCAAATATCTGGTTGGCAAACTAATGTGTTTTATAGGTGAACTGTATGATGGTTAAGGAGCTGTTTTCTCAACTGGAACTTAAAACATTGCATAAAAGGAAGTCCAACCAAGACATGCTGTATGGAAGCTGCTGTTGATGCTAAGTGGTCAGTTCAGCCTTCACAGTCCAACAGCCTTGCTTAATTATCTGTACGCCTGAAACAGCCCTTCATTCTACCTTTTTAAAAGAAAGAGTTGCAGAATTGGGATCACTGTGGTGTGAAACAGGAAACTTTGGGACAATTTTTCATATTTATTTTTGGGAATGCGTATCTGTCACCTAACAAGAGCATCATGCTCCCATTTTAAATAGATGCTACAATCTGCTGGGAATATGAGGGGTTTTATTTTCATTGCGTGCAACCAGCCGCGGTCAGTTGCACCGGCTCCTTTATTGACAGGAATGTTAAATAGTAAAAATTTTTTGGAGGGATTTAAGTAGGAAAAGTATCACAAAGAATATGTTCAGCAAGACACACTGATTGGCATCAGTTTACTGAAATTGAAAAATAAAATTATCTAGGCAGCCCAAACTATTGTTACTTATATAAATTGCAAATTTAGTCTGTTATACACTTTTGTTAGTGTGATATATTCTTCAGTGTTAACTATTTGCATATTTTGTTTTGCAAATAGTGAAGTGACAAAAGACTTGCAAGAATCAGACATTTTACACAGCAATTTCTCTGCCTCTGAACTTTTAAGTGAGCATTATCTAGCGTCGTGTCTTTATACCAAGATCTGTTTTAGGCATTTGAAATCAAAACTTTGAGAAGCGAAGTCCTAGGCCAATGATCAGAGTGTTCACTTTCTAAAGCTGGTGCAACTTGTAAAGTTGAATAATTTTATTTACATATAGCCCACGCTGCCTAAGGAAAATCCAACAGAAAGGGGGGGGGGGAGATAAGGCCAAGACTGTATCTTCCATCTTCCCTATCCAGCAGAGATCTGGACCTACCAAGTACCCAGAGATCCACAACATGGGGAAGAGGACTATATTCTAAGCAAAGGTTCAAAGTCATTGGATCTTAAAGCAGCACCAGCTGCAGGCCACAGAAGTGTTACTAAATGCTTAGATGATCCCCAAAGTTTGTTGAGTAAAAGGGGGAAAAAATAGGCAAGATGACAAAAAAAAAGTGTGTAATGACCATAAATTGCTCACAATTTAAAAAAAAAAAACAACAGAAAACTGCAGTAAAGGGAACTGGGTGGGATCTTGAATAGAAGGAATGTTGTGTGTCAGTTCACATTGCTTGTTCTCCACTTGGGAACATCTTCCACCAGAAAGGATGCTCAGCTTTGTGACCAAAACTGGAACATCTCTAGAAGATGGTAGGTAAGGAATGGCCTTGGGCTGATACACCATAAAGGAACTTTTTTTTTTTTTTTACTGACCACTTTAATTTTCCTCCCATTGACCACAGAAAGCATTTAGAGTCTCGCCTTTCTTTTCATCTTCTCTGAGCAGAATTTCCAAGACTAGGAAGTTTAATTTCATCTGGAATCCTCAGTCAAAATGTGTGTCTGGACCCCACAGAATATTAAACAGGTTTTTTTGTGGGGGTGGGGTGGGGGAGGAAATGAAAGGCTAGTTTTTTAAAAAAAAAAAAAGTATAGGTCAGATTGGGATACTTTGATAAATGGTTTATGTCAAGACTGCTAGGTAAAGATTTGGTTAGTGTTTACAAGGCTGTGTCTTTGAGGCTTTCTTGGCCTCAACTTGGCAGTGCTTTGCTACTATCTTCTTCTAACATTTTTTTTAACCTTCCCAATCTAAGCTCCAGCCTGTTGATCTCTTTCAGGTCTTCACCAAATCCAATCCAGATTTTATTTACTGTCCACATTTCTATCCCGCTGCAATCCAGAGACCCTGACTGCATGCAGCCACCAACTGTGATGCTCCCTAATTTAACTATTGAGAAAAATGCAGCACACAGGAGAGGAACACGATCTCTATCCGTCAGCCTGTGATGGAACAGCTGCAGGGAGCAAGCTGTCCCCCCCCCCCCACCTTTCCAGCCAGAACTACTGGATTCCAGCAGCCAGTTGCTCTGGGTTTGCTTCACTGGGGACTCTGGGATATAAGTGTGTTATATGTCATTTGAAATTCCTCCAGTCCAGTTCCAAAGGCAACTCTGTATTTTATCCAGAGCATGGCATTAAAGCTAGAAAGATTAAATGCCGGAAAGCAACCAGACCACCTTGAAGCCGCTCCAAAGCAGAACGAATGCTGAGGGAGTCTTCTGATGCAGTATTTTGCAGCTTCCTAAAACAGAATTTGGAGTCTTCTGTCTACCTTTTCTCTTTTCCCCTGGTGTAGAGAACCACAGAGGTGACCTTGGTAAGACAGCGGAGACGGTTAGCAAAACATGAATTAAGCCCAGGGAGGGAAAAGGTGTTGGAAAGAAACTTCGTGACCCCACTCTGGCTCTTTGGTATAAGGGGGAGAGAAAAGGAAACACTGCCAGGCTTTCAAAGACTCTGTTACTTGAGCCTATTTCAATAAGGAGCATTCCAGTATTTCTGGTGGAGTCTGTATCCTGACCCGGCCTAACATGAAGGGTTGACATCTGGCCTGACGGTTTCAGTATAGCTGATTCTGTTTCACTCACTCAGATAAACAAGAACTAGAAGATCTTACGTGCTTTTTGAATTTATTTAGTGCTCTTGATGCCAAATTCTAGCCTCCACCCCACTGTTTTACCCCCATTTGTGCAGATTATTTTTTTTTTTACAGACAGAATACAGACCGCAACAATAGCAGGGCACGGTGCCCAAGTCCCCACCTCCAGAAGACCGGATTAAAAAGAGAGAACAGTCAGCAGGACTTTGTCTTTTAAACCAAGCATACTGTGGAAAGGCGGTTCTGTTTCAATCAAGGAACGGTTGCCTTGTTATGCGGTCCCAGGATTCTAAACGTCAAGCTTTGTTTTCCACTGTTTTTGCCTTTTTATTAAAGGGGAAATGAGATCCAAGCGTCAGCATTCGTGAAATGTGACAAAGAATAGCTTTACAGAGAAAGTCGTTCAGCTAATGCCAACATGTACTGTATTATTATGCGGAAAATGTCATTAGTCTAACTGATTCTCCTCTGAACACGTTACACGCTGCCTTGTCGCAGCGACGTCCAATGGAAGTGTAACACTACAGTAGTGTCCGTGGTACTAAAACGTTAAAGACTTGCGCCCTTCCCCCTCCATAAATACAAATCAACATTGATATAAAACATGAAAAAGTAAACAAAATCTCCTTGCCAACCACAACAAGGTTAGCAAATGGGACAGTACAGCTGAAGGACAGAGAAATGAACCAACCCAACATAAAACGCAGGAAGAGTTGCAGGTAGCCTTTAGATCACCTGGAGGTTTTTCCAGACAGCCGGGACTGCAGCAGCATTCTGGGAGCTGTAGTTCCAAGTGGCAGAAGGCTCCCGGACGTAGTCCTTCCGAGTCTACATGCTTTGAGCGATACAGTGCAGGGCAGGATTGGAGGAGGTAACGTAGCTAACCTGGTGGAAATGGCTGGGATTCACAGGGTTGTGGATTCGGGCAGAGTTCCCATAGGATGGACTGACCGGATACCAAGGACCAACGCAGTGATACGCGGGCACAAATGGGATGCAAGATTCGTATCCTGGCAGAGGCGGCGGGGCGTATGAGTCTGTTACAACCGGGTAATAGACAGTTCCAGGAGGTAGAGGAGGTGGTTCTGGGATGGATAAGGCACCTGGAAGAGGGGGAGATATCCCACATAAAGCATCAGCAGAGGGTGCATTTCTTGGGTAATCATCTTTAAAGAATTCAGGTCAGTGTTCTAATTTGATACTATCAGACTGGTAATTGGTTTGGAGTTGTTTCGTCAACCTCTTTTAAAGCAATCCAATCCATCTGCAAATTGACCTCAGTAAAGGTATCATTTTAAGATGCTCACTCGAAGACCACTGAACCAAAGCCGTGGCTTGCACTGCTTTCTTACACAACAGAATCAATTAAATCACATGCCCAGACGTGTGCAAGTCCTCCATTCTCATCACCACCAATGATTCATTCATCCTTTTCCACTGGTTATGATGCCACCAAGTCTTAGCAACCATAGAAATGTTCTCCAAAATGGTCTGTCCCCAGCTTGGCTTTTCAGACCTTGCAACAGGGATTTGATTATATATTGCTCTTTCCCCTACAAGGCACTATTTAAAACATTTCCTGGTCAATTAACTAAATTAGGCGGATTTATCAATTAATTAAACCAGCAGCCTTCCCTCACTTATCAACTACCACTGTAGTTTAGACTACAACTCCCATCACCCTCCCCTAGCTAATACAACAGCCATGCTGGGTGGGTGATTACCCAGTCTGACAGTGTCTGGACATTTGGTTAAGTTGGACTACACGCTGCAATCTGCATGGCCGGCAACTTTAACTAACTACAGAATCCTCAACCCTCTCACAGCATGTATTTCTACGTGACCGCAAGTAACAAAAATAGAAAGCAAAAGGCTTTATTGCAGATGTTACTCATGCTGAACCATGAAATTAGATTACTGCAATACCATAATTGCAGATCAAATACTTAATTCATCCAGGCCAATGACTGAACAGATCTATGTTCCAACAGTGTTCAGTGTGAACCTAACATGTGTTAAAGAAGAGACCTTTCCAGGAGGAACCGTGTGATGTGCCCTGCTGCCGAATTGTTTTCCCTGAGGTTTTAAAAACAAAATAAAACCTCAAAGCAGCTCCAAGGAACATTTCCTGGGAGGAAAAGGAACAGTTCGTTTTTCTTATCAAAAAGAAAAATGCTATTTTTCACGATAGCTGCCTTTTTTTCCCTTGCTCCTCAGGGAGAAAATATATTGGTATTACAGCAACTCTGGAAAGTAGCATTATTAAAATTGGAAACTGGCAGACTTATAACTGGATTATTGAAGGAATCTGTAATCCAAAACACTCATGATAACTGAGGAGCTCACTTCTTTGCCAAGCCTACAGCAGGTAGAAGTTCTTAGCTGACTGTGACTGATCTTCAAAAGCTAAACTGAAAAGAACTTAGAAGAATTCCAGGACTAAACAGGGGGAAAAAAAAAAAGAGCAAATTGCTTCCGTATTGTTGGCAAGAAAGTTACATGGCCATGTCCTGGCAGTCATCAGGACCTTAGCTAAATGTGTTATCCCTTTATTCAAGTTTAGCACAAGGAGACACTATGCTAGGGTTGTGTTAGACTTACAGAAACCTTCAATTTTGATCTTATTCACCAGTGTCTCACTGCGCTGGTCAAGAGTGGGAAGAGTTAATGGTTGTTCGGCTATTCCCATTATTGTTACATTCGCATAATGGTCTAGAACAGGGTTTCTCAACCTTAGCAACTTCAAGATGTGTAGACTTCAACTTCCATGCTGAATGGGGAATTCTGGGAGTCCACACATCTTAAAGTTGCTAAGGCTGAGAAACGCTGGTCTAGAATGATAGTAAAATACTATTTTTGTTATTAAGTTACTAGAAGGAATTATGCCATAGAGAGGGAAAAGGAGATTAAAAAAAAAAAATCAGGCAGGTCATCAGGCCAACAAATAAATAAATAATCAAGTCCTGGCCTTAAGAGAGGCCACTCATGACTCTGGCTGAATGCAGAGCTGAAGCTATGAATATATGCACGCACCATTAAAAAAAAAAGAAATAGAAATCATTTTGAAAGTATTGCATCTGCCTTGCCAAATTTAGGTCCATGACACTCAACCTTCTTCAACAATCACTACACAAAGACCAACCGGTTGACGAGGCGTCTACAGGCATCTGGCGCATATCGTTCCTCCCTACATCGGTGTAAGACAGAGGCACTGATGGATCAACTACGGAGACGGGCTCTGGGTATGTCTGATACGCTTCCATGGGAGGTGATGGTGGTGCTTGCTGTACGTACATCACAGGGTTCCAGCAGCTCTGGTGGTAATACTAGGGCAATTCAAGGTAAGAAAATCAAGTTTTAAATAGGTGAACTACTGCCGCTCAGACTGACACAGTAGCTGTTGAAATCTGCCCATTTGGACTGATTTCATGGTAGAAATGCACTGAAAAACAGTGGATCAACTGTTTTGCACACCACCACACTGGATCAAGAGCAAGACCCCGCTAATCCTAGTCAGCAGAGCATTCAAAGGAATGAGTTGTTCCAGAGTAGCCCAGCTGTTTCGTGGCTGCCTAAAACCTAATTCTTTCCAAACATGATTTTCAGAGTTCTCTTCAGCAAGATTTACTGAGATGGAAGAGGTGGCGTTACAAGAACTCCATCAACGGAGCTATTTGCTGTTTACAAACAATATATTTAGGGGCTTATTACAGGGGAGAATTTCCAGTTCTTTTTCTAACAGCTGTACTGTGATTGAGATCCAGGACGGTTGTTAGAAATCACTTCATGGTTAACAGAGGAGCTTGTAGCTGGCTTTTTGACATAACAGTCTCCAGAACCTTTGTCCTTATAATTATAATGCTATCCAAACCAGGACAAGAGGGTTGACCAGGTTTCTCCTGCTACTGCAGTCTTCAAATTGGAAATGCTCCGTGTTTCTACATGGAAGACAACAATGCGGGTGAGTTAGAGCTCCTGACTGCCGTGTTGACACCAAAATTGACACCATGTTGACACCAAAAATTGTGTCCTGCTGGTGCTCATGGCTAGGTGTAGCGAATGAGTCAGATCAAACCCCACCATTATAATTAATGGGATGAAAGTTACTCCTGATTCTCTCAGGCCATTGATCTGAATGGGCTGAGAGCAGCCTTCTGCAACCAAGAGTTTGATGTTTCAACTCCCATCTAATGTCCCAGCCAGTGCATTATGGGAGCTGGAATTCTTCAACATGAGGAAAAGCTGGCTAAAACCTAGCTGGATCTCCAGTCTATTACATCTGATCTGCAAAAATAAATGGCCAGAGGAAAAAGTCGCTGCATTTTAGTGGCACAGGTTTGGTAAAGAAATATATGAAAGTATCCTTACAAATGAACAGAAATTCTTTTTCTGTGCTTTATGTACAAATAGTACAAGAGAGGAATGGGAATCTATTTCTTTTGCAAACCGTTAAAAAATAATAAACTGGGTATTCTCTAAGGAAATAATATTTAACTCTTGTCTTACCCATCAATGCTGCTTCTCTTACACTCCTCTTTCCAGCACTGGCAAATATTTACCCAGCTAGGGAACAGCAGCTTAGGAAGTCAGCATGGATAAAAGCAATATATTTAAAATCCTTGGTGAAGATAGAGAAGTTCCAGGGTCTTCCACACAATGCCTACTGCAGACTTCAACCAAAGGATTCCCCATCAGACTTCAGAAAATCTGAAAAACATCTCTGTCTACCAAAGACTGACATCCCCACTCCCACCAAAGCTGGCTGTACCATTAAACTTCTAAAGGGCACCTACCTGCAAACCCAAATTAAAGTAATACTGCAAAATCTTTGGGTCTGAAAAGAAAAGAACTTGGTCACTGTATTTTCATACACATCCTATATTAAGGTCTGAATATTTGCATTTTTCACATGTTTGTCCACCAATTTGTATGAAAGAACTTTACAGATAGGTATTTTCTCCCACATAGCTGGCATTCATGGACTTTGCAAACGGCTTATAAACATATGTAAATGGTATTAGTTTACTCACCAACTTGGTTACGAATAGAAAGGTCAATTTTGGGAAAGTCTGAGTTTGATTAAATCATCCCCTACAGTTCTGAACCTGGAAAGAGCATTGTGGGTTTTTTGCAGCTGTACCCGCAAAGAGAAGAGGTACCTGTGACATCAGATGAGCCAAAATCTGCAAAGTGTTGACTATCAAGGGATTAGGAGGAGAAGGAGGAGAAGGAGAAGAAGGGGAAGGGGGAGAAGGGGGAGGAGAAGGAGAAGGAATAACAATATAATACCATTTTTAAATAAGAACTGCGTGGACATTGTGTCACTGCTACTTTTGGATTAGCTGAAAATAGGAGTTAGAGGTGATGGGAAGAAACAACATAACTTATTAGCTGAAGGGAATTAAGATCTGACACACTTTCCTCCGCACAGGCCCAGACAGAAGTGAAAACGTGTATGGAAGGTAGGCCAGGGTTTTCCCCAAAGCAAATCTCCTTGTTTTACAAGAATGAAAACACAGAAAGATAATTACAGAACAAACCTGTGGGATGAATAGAAAAGTTGCATTCTTCATTCTAGCGCACATGTTGGGATTACAATTCCCAGAACTTCAGCAAGATTCTGGGTTAGAGAAAGCTTCTCTACAAGAAAGATGGGATGATCCAAATGCATGCATACAGATGTGAAGTTTTAAACCAGAAGTCCCTCGCAGGAATGTGACAGTCACCCCGTTGGGTTGTTTAAGTACCACCCACGTAAATGGAAGTATGAAAGGAAACACCAAATAGGTCAGAACATATACTGAGAAATATATGGAATATATTGGAACACAACCAAATATCTTGGAACACAACCTAATGCAAACTCCACACCTTATTCAACACTTTATTCCAGGTCCCTGTTCAGTATACTGTGATACTGATGGCAACCAGAAATATTTAAAATTTCAGCATCTATATGAAAGTATCCTTACAAATGAACAGAAATTCTTTTT